AAAATAAAGAAAACCTATCACTATTAACCCGACAGTAAGGAGATTCTAACTTTTAATTCGTCTACTACTGGAGATGCAACTACCCTTCAATAAAGGACCTTCGAATTTTTGTCATTTTTTTCGAATTTCTCAAAAAATACTTAAAGGACAATTGTATAACTGTAGAAATGTTTAGTTCATGTGATTTTTGATATTTAGCAATAAAATTCAGAGCTTTCAGAAGTTTGGGTAACCGACAGAAAATTATGAGAGTAAATAAGTATTTTTAAATACGCTTCGCCAGAAAATCAAACCTTGTAACTTGTATCGATTACTTCAGTTGTTCATTGAAATGCATAAAATTCCGTAAGCCTAAAATTTATGGAAATATGGACATTTTTATAAAAATCCAATTTTTTTTATAATTTATAAATTGCTATAATTTTATAAATATTCAATGGAATCAAACAATATTATTAGAGCAATTTAAAATTAGAATTTAAAAAAAAAATCGTTGAAAACTGTGCAAGATATCAAAGTGTCTCTTCCATTGTTGTAGGGTAGTGTAGTTCACGTCAAAAATGTGGTTAGTTAGCAACCTTTTAAAAAATTAATAAAATTAACAAAACATTTTAAGTTTTGAAAACTTGAAAGTTTTTCGAATATAAAACCAAGATATATTTTATAGACTGAATTATCCTTGGAAGCAAAATTTCTTCTAACCTTAAGGAAATTACTAGTAAGATTTACATAACATTAAAAAATAATTGATAAATAAGATAATTTATGTGTAATTTAGGTGATTAATCTGTGTATCACAAATATAACCATCACTGTACTCGTAATTTTATAATCTGATTCTGAAAAAAAAAGATCAATTTCAAGATTTGAGGAACTATTTGGAATAAGGTTGAGTTCATCTTCATTATACAATAACTCTCGGGGGGATGAATTTTTCACGTTATTGAGTTGTCAAAACTTAGTAATCCTTGAATTGCAACAGATCGTCACTTTTGTGAAAAACGACATATTCTCCCATGATCTTCAATTGGATATAATATATAAAAAAAAACACAACTACTTCCACTTAGTAGGAATAACATTTACCATGACGCAATGCTAAATTCTATGCCACTATCCACATAAATGCCACTATCCACATAAATCAATTATTAATCAAAAATCGAATATCAATTACTTTTCTTTATAATGCAATAAAATCTGGCGAGCAGCTATTTAAACGATCAAACACTTCGTTTGTTTATTTTTGGCTTGAAGTTAGGCTCGCAGAAAATGCCGTTCACGGGTTAAATTTAGTAGGAATAACACAACCTGTGACGTAGGCTATAGTATACCCAATTGGCACAAATTAGAAATCAAATTATAATAGAATCAAAAAGATTTTAATCTAAATTATTTCATAAACGAAACTATTTAAATTTTTCTAAGATATTTGAAATCGTTGAGCTCCTTAAAGTGAATAGAAATCGAAAACAGTTTTTTTTTGTTGCATTTCCGATGCATCGCTAAAGCTTATTTTCACATAAAAACATATGTAGAAGTTATAAATTATATCAAAGTTAATTAAATGGGGTACCACTTTGTATTTAAAACAAAGCATCCAATATGGCTAAATTTAGCTCTTTGCACAGCATATTCGAATCCCAACATTTTCACATTTTGTATTCCATTATAATTGTTTCCTTCCGTATCGTGTCTGGTCATTTCATTACATGCGTCATTCATACATAAAATCGTCTGCATCTCGTCTAATCTACTGATTATATAATTAGGACTTAAGTATGGCTGTAAATGGTTAGAATATCAATATGTTACAACTTTAATTAAATCAGCAGACGGTATTTTACAGTATTTAAATCAACAGACAGTACTATTGGAATTAACAGCACAGGTAATTATCTGGTTTCCTTACGTCTTAAACGATGCGCAATTTCTTACTTAAAAACTATTTGGTACTTTGATTTGTTTCATCGTTAATGTTCTTTTAGTTTTGAAGTATTATTCAAATCTCTATTTTGCACATTTTCAGTAAGAAGTTTGCTCTTATTTGTGTTGAAATTTTTATAAACTCTGTAAAATTATTTACTGATCAAAAAGTTTTTTGATTTGTCGCATTTTATTCAAAAACAATATTTTAAGGTAGGAAAACGATTAAAATTATTTAAACTAACGATTAAATTTATAAAAAGAATAACAAATGACTATACATAGCTAATGAGTCCTGCATTTCAGCTTCAGAAAATAAAAGACGGAAAAGAAAATAACTAAAATTAAATTTGTCATCTCATCTTAAAGGCTTCTTTCATGCTATGTATATGTTGTTCTGTTATGGTTAAACTCTGCAACTTTTTCATTTTTATCCAGGAACTGAAATTATTAATTTATTCTTAAATAACGCTAAACAACATTTTATTTTATATTTCATAACCGTCGTTGAACAGCCGACTCATTTTTTTTTTTTGAGTTTATGACTACTTACGTTCAACAACTCCCCGTAACCTTTTAATTTTGAACCCAATCCAGAAGACAATTGAACTTCTGGCTCAAGTTTTAGGAGAAATTTGCCATCGTGGCAGACTTTTTGATGGAACTAACCCGCATTTCCATTACATGGAGTGGAAAATCACGAAAACCTCCCACGGTTAGCTCAACGACAATGAGATTTTAACCCTTGATCCGTCTACTACTGAGGATATTTTACGTCAGCACAGTAGTCGGAACAAGCCGGGTGCGGAATTCGTATCGACATGTCTTTTGCTAGGATTTGAACCCAGTTCACCTCATTGGAAGGCGAACGCTGTATCCCTGAGCCACTATGACTCACTGAACAACATTTACACTAACTTCATCCAGTATATAAATAATTCAACTCGTACAGTAGTGCGATGAGTAGTATAATGAGACTCAACACCTTTCTTATTAAATTTCGCTGTTAATGGAAAATACAAATTTTTATGCATCAATGGGAAAATGCATATTAATTTTAAATATAATACGGTTTTTTGTATTCGATGAAAGAGAAATAAAATCTTGCAATAAATTGAATTTTTCAACACTTCTTGTTAATCGTTGAAATTCAAGTTTACCATCATTAAAATTGATAAACGGCCTCCTTATGTGTACTTTTTGCCAACACTTAAATTTTGGAGATGCATTTTATAAAAGAACTAGATTTTTATAATGGAAAATAAGACATTTAAAAATTTACACTAAATTTCCACCCAAAAATTAAACAAATTTTTTAAAAGAGAGATGAAATTAAATATATGTATATTTTGATTTTTTTATATATATATATATATTTTTTTTTATTTTCCTGTATATTTTTTTGAAATTCGTGTGTGCTCGAAAATATTAAGTTATGTATCAAATTAGCTTTGCAAGAGCACTTCTTTCGAATTAAAAGCAAAGTTATGCAAGGTGACAAGTTCTTTATGCAAATCTACTCAAACTTAGAAAGCCATCAAATCTGAACACATTTCTTATAATAGCGTCAAGTAGCGAGAAAAAACAAAACAGATTTGCATTTATAGTCAAACTGCAACATGGAAAGCAATGTAATATGTATGACATAATTTGTTAATTTGTTGTGATGTGAGAAAAATATAAGTTAGAGTGAACAAAATACAAATGGGCCCCAATAGCACCTAATCATTTATCGACGTAATATTGATAAAAAATATGTTTTTATTATATTGTGTAAAAATGTAACTTTTTGGTAAACGTAAAATTTTACTCTTCGTGTGCCTTGTTTCAGCCAGTGGTATTTGAAGGCATACTTTTTATCGACTTGATTTGATTTCGTAATTTGGTACGTGCGTGGCATAAAAAAAAATGTGTTTAGTAACTACAGCAGGAATTGAAAAGTAATGGGAAGCTTTTACGATTGGTTTGCATTTGAAGGAACGTGTTCTGTATTCATATTTTGCCAACGTCCCATGTTAACAAAAAGGGAACTATATGAATGCCATTCATTAAGTTTTTAACTCATACTTAAGAATATTTTTGTTTCATTTTGTTTATTCTAATATATTTAATATTTTAACGCCCATTTACATAACATTCTGTACTGGCAAATTGATAAGTTTAAGACGACTTCGTATTTTTCTTAAAAAAAGAGAAAAAAAATCTAACATGTGCCTTTTAAAAAATATGTGTAGAAACTACAGCGGGAATTAAAACGTAATGGAATGTTTTTATGATTGGTTTGCATTTCAAGGAAGTTGTTCTGCATTCATATATAACCAACGTCCCATGTTAACAAAGGAGAATTATAGGAATGTCAATTTCCTATTCATTAAGTTATTAACTCATATTTAACGATATTTTTGTTTCATTTTTTTGTTCTTATATATTTTAGCACCAATTTACATAACATTCTGTGCATGTAAATTGGTAAGTGTAGGACGACTTCATATTTTTTTTAAAAAACGAAGAAAAGTGCCTTTATTTTTTTATTCTATTACTTAGTCACTAAATTTCAGTTTATATGGTTTTTATTATTTTTAAAATCTTAGTTGTACAATTCAAACATTGAGAAACGGTGAAAGTAGACACTTGTAATTGTAGGACATTTTCAATAACTGATTGGAAAGTTATTGTAAAAATTCTCCAAACCCTAGATAGGCCACTTTGCTCAGACTTTCACTTCTGACAAAAATAAATCAGACGAACTTGAGTTTTTAACTGACGAGATAAAGTTTAAACTCCTCTTAAAATACCACGGATTATCTTAAAAGTCTATAAGTAGATTTAATCCAAATTCAAATACCTCATGCAAACTAAATGAAAAAAATATTTTTTCCTTTTCTTTCAAAGATTAGGGTCATATTTCAAGTTTAATAAAAGTATGTTTAGGTGATGTGATTAATTTTAAGATTTTAGAAAGGAGATTTTCTGCATTTCAGCCTTTTGCGCGTCCTTACGAAAAAGTCGCTTTTTCCTGCGTCGTTGAGCTATTCAGTTTGACACTACTGCGCATGTGCCACCCACACAGCCACCAATCTTTCAAAAATCGATAGCGAAGGTAGTGACTAAGTCTCATTGGTAAATATACTAACTTAAAACGTCTATCCCCTAAGAAGATCTCCCCATAATACTCTCTGCTTTTCGTTTAGTTAAAACATTTCACGATAAAACATGTCACACTGCAGAGTGGTAAGTATAATATTGAAGAAACTAATCATTCTAAATTGAAATGAATGGATTTGAATTTTGTTTAAAACTTTAAGACCTTACGAAATGCACGTCCTTGTTATGACCCGTTGTTTCTGTGTAATTTTGCATTATGTATTTTGTTGAGAATTAAAATCTAATCTTAGCACCGGAGATTAAAAATGTCTGCTATGCAAAATGTGTGCATTCAATGATGATGGCTTAAATTAAAATGATAATGGCTCAAAGAAAGATTATGGGTGATACAATAGTATACAGTTAAAAAAATTGTACAACCATATCTAGTTGATGTAGTGATCCGTGATAGATTAATGCAGAAAGTTAGTTTTAAAAATAATTTTATTTTGCACGCAAATTTTTTATAATTATACGAAATAACGGCAAGTGAATTGTTTATTTTCAACATCAGTCTTAAATATAGAAATATAAAATACTTTTAACTGAGTTGATAAATTGCATGTAAATAAAACTTAAAGCATTTGTTGTCATCAAACATTGTGCATGCTTTTTTTTTCTCTCCAGAAAATATTGTCTCGTGAACAGTTTAAAACGCTATGCTCCTTTTTTTTATAAGAAATAATTAATTGATAAAACTTTACTGTAAATGTACTTTAGTTATACCAGGATTGAGAAATTAGTTTGAAAAATAATTTTGAGTTTGTAAACATTTGGCATTATCCGGTAAAGAAAACGTTAAAAATATCAATAATTTCTACATTAGTAAATATAAAATGCATTTCAATTCTTTGATTAATTGCATGCGCGGCAGTTAAGAAAAGAATTTACTGAAGTTGAGGTGTGCATTATTTTTGTTTTAATAAAAATAAGTTATGTGAATAATTGTAATTTTTTGTCTGCTTTTTATTTATACATAAATTAGTTTATTTCTGATAAACGGAAACTTACTTTTGTATGACATTGTACATTGTAGTCTTAAGCCAGAAATTAATATTTGCAAAGACGAGACTATTATTTCGTATGCGTCATTTCAGTATCATTTCACATGTAATTGTATTACATAACCATCTAATATGAATAATTGAACTCGAGAATGCATCAGAGAGAAAAGTTTTATACGGTTCAAATGAAATTACGTTTTAAAGATGTTGCATTACGATTTTCGATTACACAATTCAGAATTTTGAATATAACATATCGTTTAAATACTCAGTTCAACAACGTCGTCTTAAATAGTAGGTAACATATTTACTACAGTTGGTTGCTTAAAAATAGTTACAGCTTTAGATCTATTATTATTATTACTGAATACCCGTTTTTCGTACAGAGTAAAGAAAAGGAAAAAAATAATCAATAAATCAGTACACTGCGAATTCATGCTCAAAACTTAAAGACATATACATAGACCATTAATTAAGCTAAATTAATTCCAATATTTATTTATTATTTTATCTTTCCAGCTGTTTTTATATTGTTAAAATTAGCAAAATAGATTTGAAATAATTCTTGACATCAAAATAAATATTAAATGTATTCAGTATCATTTTATTTTATGACAGTCGGTGAACAGCCGACCCAATTTTGAGTTTAAGACTACCAATGTTCCTTTTAATTTTGGATCTAATCCAGAAGACAAAGGAACTCTTGGATCAAGTATTGGGAGGACTTTTTGATGGAACAAACCCGCATTTGCGTTAAGTGGAGAGGAAGAGCATGAGAACCTCTAATGATTAGCCTGACGGCTAGCCATATTCCGTCTATTACTGAGGATATTTTACGTCAGCACTGTGATCGATGCGAGCCGGGAGAGGAATTTGAATCCCAGCCAATGCTGGGATCGAACCCGGGTCACCTCGTCGGGAGGTGAGCTCTCCGTTCACTGTGCCACCACGGCATTCTACTGAGCCACCATTCAGTATCATTTGGCATGGTGGTGTTGCTTGAAGCCAACTCAAGAGAATTAAAATTTACCACAATCAAGCAATTTTCTCTAGTACTTATTTATTCAAGTGGCCATAAAAACCTCCTTCCACAGCATAGTTTTTACATTTCGCCTGAACGCCATTTAACAATTAAATTTGCTTTTTAGTACATAGCTTATTTTTTATTTCAATTAATACCTATTATCAAAATTAATTAAGCATCATTGGCTTTAATAATAAATTGGAGATTTTAAATTTTTCTTCTAAACAAATTAGCACTATATCTCTGTGGATTTTGCTTTTTAGTGTGTAATTTATTTTTGTTTCAATTAGTACATATTACTAAGATTTATTAATCATCATTGGCATCATAAATAGAATGGCGAGTTCTTATTTTTTCTCTAAATGAAACAACTTTGTAAAACTTCTATATTATTTTTGTTTAATGTTTCAAATATAAAATATTACCACAATTAACCAAGTCTCATTAGTGTAAATAATAGTATGGAATTTCTTTTTGAGTTTTTCCTAAACGAATTAGTAATATTTCTCCGATAATTTGGATTATCAGTGCATTACTTATTTTAATTTCAATTACCGTTTATTTTATATTACTTAGTTTAATATATAAACATGTTTTAAAAGCTTAACTATAAACAAAATATGAGCGATAGCTCTTCACGCTGTCGTACCACAGGTCCCTGGTTCGATCCTCGGGCCGGGCAAGGTTGACTCAGCCTTTCATCCCTTCAGTGGGTCGATAAATGAGTACCAAGCATGCTTGGGAACTAAACACTAGGGGTTCCACGTTCGGCTGACCACCTGACCGGAACAGCTGCTGCTGCACCCCAGAGTCCAAGGTCAAGAAAACTGAGATGGGCACAGTGGGCCTTGGCCCTCTTGGACTGTCGCGCCGCTGAGTTTAGTTTATAAACAAAATAAGCACAGGGTTTCAGATTAATTTAGGAATACTAATTTGATGACGTTGTCCGCTTACTCTACTTTATATACGTTGATAATTGAGTATAACATAATGACTTTTTTTAATCTGACATAACGAATAAAAAATAATTAAATGGTGAGGAACGTGCAATAAACAATTTTTTATTATTACTGGGAGCTATAAGGTAGCAACCATCACTGATGTTATCTTTAAAATATTTGATAAAATATAATCGTCTGCAATTTAATTTATATCAGTAACTAGTTCTAAGCGAATGAGAAAAATCCATTTTTCAAACGTCTCTTAAAAACAATCTAATTAAAATTTTTGAACGATTTTTTGGATCGGGGACAGAGGTTCTCCACAGTGCGTAGCGTTTTTAAAAAGTGCTTAAGGTTGCTTTTTTCATTGGGTGTTTTTAAAAAGTGCTTAATTTTCCCTTTTCGAAAATGAGATTTCTGTTCTTTACCATGTCGATTTTCGCCATGTATTATGCAAAAGCGGGCTTTCCACATTGTTCGATTCAACGTTTTCACAATTCATTCAGCCGCAATCTATTTCGGCTCACCGTCGGTCCAGTATGAAGGCGCCAATCATTTTACATGTTTGATGAAGCACTTGCGATTCCGCATGTGCGTCGACTGAGCTGGTTTTGGTGAGATTATTGCACTCTCATATGCAACTCTGCTGCATTTTGCAAGGTATTCTCAATGTCAGGCTTCATTTTCCGCCCTCTGATATCGAACCGAAAAATATCTTGATAATTTTATAATGGCTAATATAATCAGGAAAAGAGTTCTTTGTCAGAAACTAGTTATTTTATTGTGATCACGTGAAACCTTTGAAAATTATTTTGTATTTTGTTAATGTATATAGTGCTTAAAAATAGTGTTTGAGTGTTGAAAAAGTTCTTAAAAGGTGCTTATTTTTTGTTGAAAGATTCGGCTACGCACCCTGTTCATGAGCAGATTAAATTTCAGTATGATAAAACAAAGGGTTCAGCAACAGTAAAAATAGACACACGCAGACAAACTCTTCATTTTATTATTATATGTAAGGTGTTAGCTATTTGCTCAAATTTGCTTGACTAATGGACTTATTCGTTGAATCAATTAAAATGTCCAATCTCTAACTGCGAAAAATAAAAGAAGTAATAAAAAGAAGTTTACCAAATTACATAATGAATTTCTGTGACGGTTCCATTAAGATTTTTACATTTAAACAAGTAAGAAATAGCGGTGTAATTATTAAAAGTACTATACTTATGCCATGGATAAATTTTTATCAATTAGTGCCGCTAAATCTTCGAAGATAAGATTTTGACTTAATTATTTTCACTAATTGCCTTTAAAAGTATGCAGAATTTATCATCTCTTTCAATTCTATTTAAATTTGTTCTTAAGCTATTTTCTTTTTAGAAAAAAAAAGAAGGAAAAGAAAAGAAATAAAGAACGATATAGTTGTTTTTTAACTCTTTAGTGAATAGTTATTAAATAACACTTTCGCAGATACTAATTGTTTAATTCATATACAAGGCATATTATATTTTAAGCGTTATTTGTTACCGTTACTAATATAGAATCTTAATTCCCTTTTTATACCTTAAAATAAGTACTATTTATTAAACTATTCTTTACTAAAAAGTGTAATTTTTCAGTTATAACAATTAATGTGACTACGGCTTTCGTTTTAGATGTGACAAAAATAAAATTATATACTTTTTTTAGTTCACATGAAAAACATTATTTTATTTTTAAATAACTTTATAGTGGCTGTGATTAAAAACATTGGTATTTTGACAATGACTTTTGTTCAATTATGGGCATTTTGTATAACAGTTAAGATTTCAAGATACGTAAAATTCAAAAAGATTTCACCGTAAGCCAGTAATTATTTTTAGTTGCAATTGTTATTTTCATTATGGAACAAAGACATTTAATTTACATTTCTTCAATAAGTAAAATATAATTTTTCAAAAGTAACATTTATGATTATTTTTATTACAATGGTTACAAATTTGGAAAAAAAAATACCTTCACCTTAATTATGTTTCATAAACGTTTTAATCTCCAAAACAATAGTTTTTACATTCTCTCAAAAAATTAAGATGGAGAATAAATCATTGTGGTAATGTATAAATCCTTTTTGGAATGTTTTCT